AAAAAGAGATCACGGCTTTGAATGGCTTAAAACAATAATTGAAGAATACAATATCATCATATAAATTTATTTGATTATTTTTGACAATATTAGAATGATTTGCATACAAAAAGTATACTACGATTAAAACTACATTCCATGTAGTGCTTACGATAATTATTTGATGAGAAATGTTTGATCTGAATCTAGTGCGAAACATCAAATTAATTAAACCCGTTAAATTTACAAGCTTCAAGAACGATACGAACTGCGGTCTTGTTTTATCTTATTTCAGCGAATTTTTTCCCCTGCTACTTATTGTATTCAATTATGCGTTGATTTTTCAGTCGAAAAAAGAAGAATTATGTAAATTGAGAAGAAGAAATAAAAAAAAGGCTGGCATGCAGTTTTCGTGCATAATATTTTTTCTGACGTTTGTTCATCGGCTTTCAGTTGCAGCATAGATTGTGAACGGGGCCCATCACACATGACGAAGGCAGCGGCAACGGCGTTGGCAGTGATGGCAGAAGCAACAGTGGCAATCGTTAAGGCAAAGGTAAATGAGACGAAATCGTTGAAAAGTAAACAACACGAAAAAGAAAAGAAACCAGATTGCGACAGTGTGTGGTTTGAATACGAATGAGAAGTATTTTAGTCGCGCGAACGAGCACACGTTACGTAGAATATGAAATTTTTGGACTTTATTTCTTCTGTTGCCTTTAACTATGGCCCGTTTAAGTCATCTTCAATATTTTTTTGTTTGTTTGTTTATTTGTATTCTCCTCGGTTCGCATCTTCTGCCGTACTTTACACTCGTTGCGCGCACACTGTTTCGCGACGGTTTCACTGATTAATTTATTATTAATTGCGGCTGGTGCGTTCTCTCTCTCTCTCTCTATCTCTCCGGTTTTTCACATTGGTTGATCAGCAACTGCTTGACAGTGGCTTTGCTCAAATGGGCGAAACGCGCATCTCACGCGAAATTGCATTCACACTAAAACCAATCGATACACGCAAAATGGTGCGCGTGCGCATTCGTGCGGCTGCATGGCCACAAAAATTCATTTCAAAAATTTTAATAAATTGATTTTCTCTGATCGTAAATTTTGACGACGATGTGTTACGATATGTGCTTCTTTCTTGCTACATTTGCGGGGTGACATAACAATGATAAATACGTAAATTTAACACTTCGAAAACACGGCCGCGGCAACATATCGTCTTCTTCTCTAATTGGTCCTAATCGCTTATTATGGAAACATGTAAATGAAAATTCTAAAACCAGATAGTTATCAATCGATTCAGTCATTTTGCATGAATAAATTTCATCAATTTCATTTGAATAGAAGGTTTTACAAATCAGCATAGATCACAAATTACGCATTTACTTCTGTTTTCTATAGCATGCGTTGTTAAGATGACCACTAAAAACAGTTTTATGTTAAATTATGAAAAGAAAAAGAGTAAGAAAAAATTGCACGATTATCTATATCTATATCTATATACCATACACAGCCTTATAAGGTAGCACATCATTAGAGTGGTTGTATGAGTCACAGGTATTTTTTTTAGTAGGCAAACCAACATATATGAATTATTCACGAGTTTCAATCTCATTCTTGGAATGCTTATCTCATTGAACTTCTGGCAAAAAATGCTAACAAAAGCGGACACTTTTTTATAAAATCAATCAAATATTCAATGTCGATATGATGCATTGTGTAATGAAAATGGAAAATGTTGAACATTTAAATTGCAAGTGAACTGGCAAACACAGTACTTGTTGGTGTCTCTGGGTTAATTTTTTTTTTTGCATCTATCTGGGAAGTGAGTAACGCAATCTGATTGATCATACAAATGAGTTTCACGACATGCTCCAGTTCGCCGAGTAATTATAATTAACTGGTTAACCAGACAATGTCAAATCGTATTGTGTTTATTTACTTTGCCTGTCCAGTAAGAAAAAATCCACTTAATTTAAATGAATTATAACGGAACGCCATTAGCAGTTTACATACTGAATTAACGGAGGTGCCAATACAGCAACGCCCGCATCCATCAAATGTTGACATTTAAGAGTTATTTATACATGATTATCATATATCAGCTCTTCTATTTTTGTAGAGCTTATGCGATTCGATGGTAAGTGTTTTTAACAGACTTTGGATGACGGCCGCATTCATTTTATGCGCTGCGTTTGGTCACTCTCTCCCCCTCCCTCTATTGGTGCCACAGCTCTGTCCATCATCAAATTTAATAATGCAGTGAAAAATTAAAACTAATAAATGGTGTCATCCGCATCTGCATATTTATTACACTGATTACGGCATCGTATACACCACTTGGGGGCATCGTATTTATCAATCGATTTTTTATGATTGTTCGATGAGTCATTGAAAATTCATCAACCATTTAACCAGTAAATGTGTGAACGTTAACGACGATAATTAAACAAAATTATCCGAAATTAAATAGATAGTGAACCTCCATGTGTAACCTGTTCATTATCGTTATGAAAAATCAACTGAGCCGAAATGTCCAAACGCCACAGAGTTGACAAAATATGGAAAAACAATTGATGAGACATAAACCTAGAAGCTCTTAAGCACTTGGAGCACATAAAATAATCGTCCAATTTTAATTTGGTGACGTAATTTATTTGGCACCACACGACAAAAAAAAAACACAAGCGTTATGAAAACCAATATCGATTCGACAAAGGTGGCTCAGTTGATTATCCAACGGTGTTTTTTTATTATTAAAAAACAAGTTCGCGAAATTCCTTTGTTCTGATTACTTTGGACCAAAAAATTTCCATTCCGATGTCATTCGAATCGATCGTTCAACAGCTAATAACCTATGGGTAAACTAAATATAACATTGAATTGACCACGATGATGAGTAAACATACATGATACATTAAGTAAAATCATAATAAAACGTGTCCTCATGGTAGATCTGGCATTCGGTGAACGGTCAGTTATGGTGGGCGTTGTTGCATTCATATTTCAAGTCGAATCAGCACAATTCAGCGAATTTGGGACGTAAATTTCTTGGAAATCAAATTATTTTATGAAGATCATAATTTTGTATATAAAAACAGCACACTAAACAAAATAGCAACACAAAACACCGCACCACACCACTCCACACCAACATTTCGGCTAATGTTAAGCATTCCAAATAATAACCGTTTTACAATTCTGTTTTGATTCATCCGTGTAGTTTTGGTCTCTCTTCTGGTATATGTGTGTGTGTGTGTGTGTGTTTGTCTGAATTTCTGTGAGCTTCAAATATCAAACGGCCAATTTGTGTGAATGCAAAATCCAGTTTTTCTGTTGCTCATCTCTTTCATTCGTTACTGTTGCTCTCTGTGCATATGCTTATTTTCTATCGTTTTTAAGCATTTTATTTTGTTAATTCACGCCACAAATTTTGGTCGAAATCTTCAAAAAACCACTTTTGCAATATATTTGAAAAGTTAACCTCTGACCCAATAATTTATTTACATTATTTGTATAAATTTGCCCATAAAACGGCTCATCAATGCAACTGATTATGCTATACTCGTCCAATCCTATGATGTGTGTTCAGAAATTGCTTAATTTTCATTCTCTGAGAATTTTCAATGAAAAAAAAAAAATGATGCGACGAGTCTCGGCCGTGATTGATGGCATCGAAATGAATGCTTTGCTACAGCGCCAAAAGCCAACCTGAACTGAAGACTTTGTGAATTTTATTGGATTTTAAATATCAAACGGAGCTATAAGCTTTAACCTCTTATTTCGCCGCAGTTTAGATGGATATTGAAGAACAAATTGAGCTTGTGCATGTTGTTTTTTTCCTGAAGCGACGACATTTCTTTCAGCTCATTCAATTTACACATTTTTGAGACGTATCTCTTTAATGTTAAGTATATTTCATTCTTATACGTAGCTTTTTCCAAAACATGTTATAGGTGTGTATACCTTTAGGCGCTTTCTTTTCAGTTTTGTACAAAACATTAATTTTTTTACATCTGTGGATTGTTCAATAAATTCGACAGTACAAATGTCTAGTATTTCGAGTCACTTCTCCTGTGATTGGCCCAAAGTTTGCGACAAAATCCAATGTTAATTGGAGAAAAATTCCACATATTCTTTCCTAACAAGTGGTACTGGAGTAAAGCACAAAAAGTATTTGATGGACTTGTGTGTTTTGAATCGGTCAAAATTCGTTTAAATTTGATGTGTATAACGTAACAAATACGTACAATACGTCGATGTCGATTTCGAAAAACGAGTTTTTTTCTTCTCTCTTTGCATTCACGAACATTGAAACTAATTCGAGTTTATAGATAAAATCAAGCGGTAAAAAAAGTAGCATAGAGAGTCTGTTCATTCGGATGTTGCACACGACTCATGTCGCGTCGTTCCACTTTCTTTCGATCACCTTCACCTTGAGCGTGGTCGTGTTCAAGCTATAAGTCGTAAAACGAAAAAAAAGAAGAAGAAAACGAGGAAAAACTTGACTCGGCTATTGAGTAGTGTTGCGATTACACAATACCAATACAATACAATACAATACCATGGATTATTGAACGACCTGCTCGATAGATAGCGAGAGCATGAAAGACTTCGATAACCGGTAGTGTAACGGTGTTACTGAATGTGATTCGGTCCCGTTTTCGTGTCGTCGATAAATGAAACGTGTTTAGCAACGCGGCAAAAGAAGGCAGAGACAAAATGAAATATGACACCTCGTGTGGTTATATGCTTTTTTAGTGGCCGTAAATGAGTTCGGTGTGATTTTGAACTTGAGTGCAATCGTACTGCCCATCATTGATTGTTGGTTTAACGCATTTGGTATAGTTATGACACTTAGTATTATTGCCGTCTGGTGGCGTTTATTTTGATTTGTACATTCACAATTGAATGCGATTGCATTTATTGTATTGACCAAATGCATTAACGTACTTTTCTCTTCGCTTCATTGATTCCTTGACTTTTTACGGGTAAATGGATTAAGAGAAATAATGTGTGTGTGTTTTTTGTTGTTGTACATTTTCGATTCGTTTATTCAACATACTATACTTGAATTAAATACAAATGTTTATTTTTTTCTTTGTTCATGGTAGCAAAGCTCCGTATGTATGTTATTTTTTGTTCAATTATGATGATTAGTCAATAACATAATTACACTTTTTTGAAATAAAAATGATATGTTTGAATTGGTTCTGCTGACAATTTGTATTGATATGTTGGTGGATTGTGAATTCGGATTGAATATATGTACAAACAAAATGCCCATATTCCTATTTCAATGATCACTCAATAAAAATTAAAATAAACCGTCCGCCGGCGAAATAATTTGAATGAATTTGAATGAGTATTTTATCAGTGTACTTTTCTTTTTGCTCGAACAATTGGTTTTTTTCTTTGTCGCTTCACTTGAATTTGCTTATTTTTTTTATAGCTAAAACATAAATTTACTGGCAATAATCGCTTAATTATGATAGGGATGAAAGACGAAAAAAAAAGTAATGAAGAAGCCATCTGAAAGGGTAACTTAGTTTATGGTAACGAAATCGGAGTAGAGGAGGATCGTAGAATGGGAGTAGTTTGCGTCGTCATATTTTGTTTTGTTCTTCTTTTATCGACCGTGCTTAGCACTTGATTGATATTGTTTGTTATTGTTGATGTTGTTGGGATTGAGATTGAGCTAGATCTTAGACCGCCCTAGTATCTATATCCGTTTTGTGGGTTGAAATTGCCGTTTCCATTGCCATTTGGGCGATTTTGATTTTGGGCTGGTGGAATGTATGCGTTATTGGGTCGTTGAGGTTGTGGTTGAGGTGCATCGGCCTGTGGTGGTATGTATTGATTATTTGGGTTGTTGTACGATGGAGCTGGTTGGAAGTCATTTTGTGGCCGATTGCTTGGGTAGCCGTTGAACCCGTTGTTTCCGTTTCCGTTGCCGTTGCCGTTGCCGTTGCCGTTACCGTTGCCGTTGCTTGGCTGGAAATCATTTTGGGGTTGTTGGTAGTTGTATCCATTGCCGTTGCCGTTGCCATTGTTACCATTTGAAGCTGAAAAGGAAAATTCGTTTGATATGAATATGTAAATATTATTCATTCAGTCGCCAATTCGAATTTCGTGTTGAGGGCAATCGAAGCAACTTTAACTCACCGAAATCATTTTGAGGTTGGAATCCGTTGCCATTGTTTCCATTGCCGTTGCCGTTGCCGTTTTGTCCATTTGCAGCAGCCTAATCATTGATGAAAAGAAGAATTAGTTTCAAATTTATAAAAATAGCTATAACTCAAGTGACTTACAGCAGCCTGTTGTTCAGCGATAGCTTGTTGAATAGCTGGTGATGGAGTTGGGATGTGTGCACCCTGAAAAAAGAATTTCAAACAAACAAACAAAAAGGTAAAAACCTGCGTAATTTCTCTTATTATAAAAGCCGGTTTAATCGGTTTGGTGCAATTGGCTTACTTGTGGTTGGAAACCTGAAAATAAAAACAAAGACACGCATCAAAATCTGTATCAAATGTGCAACGATAAAATGTATGACAAACCATTTTCGTCGGCTATATATGTTACGGTATACAAGACACCGTCTGGTCCAGTGTAACTGTACGAACCGCGAACCGATTGGATTTCATTATCAGTGCCTTTGTTCTTCACTTCGCCCTGCTCCTCGGCTTTGATACCGTTTTCTAAAAGCGAACGGTAAATGGTTAATAAAACACATTCACTTCAGCCAGACAAAACCACACCTACTCCTCAAACCAGCGGAACAGAGCGGTTGGCATTTTATCATTTTTTTTTCCTGTTGTACGCACCCGTTTCATAAGAGTATTTGTAGCTACCGTCACCGTAGTTTGGTTCATTTTCATAGGATAGAATAGCGATTGGTGGCTGTTGTGATTCTTGTGGCTGATTACCACCGAAGCCTTGCTGTGGATTTTGTTGACCGAATCCATTACCGTTACCGTTGTTACCATTGAATCCATTGTTACCATTTCCATTACTTTGATTTGGCGGCGCTAAACCGTTTCCGCCTGAGTTCTGTGCATCGGGTGGTGGCAAATATGTGTTGTCTAACTTTGCACAGTTACACACGGCTACAATTGTTGCAAAGATAATCTGAAAAATAGTTCAACCGTACCGCGTAGAGCACGACGAAGAAAAAAAAATATATGCTGTTAGTTTGGAACTTATGCGGACGTGAAGACAAAAATAGATGAACAATGATGGAACCAATCCGTCAAGAGTATATGAAACCCAATTACGACCCACTGAGCATAGCCTAAATTGTTATATGCACTTATTACAGCATTTTCTCGCAGACATTGCCATTTGACACTTTGTTACACGATTTCCATCTATGTCACTGCACACTGTGTGTTTTATTTATGGACGTAATTTTTCGCTAACATTATCGAATTTATCTGGCATATTTATTGGGTATTCGATGATTAAAAGCATTCAATGTGTACGTGGTAAAACACGTGTGCGGATACAATTCACCATAAGAATGAAACATTTCATGAAGATGACAATAATCCTTATCACAAAATCATTATAAATTCTAAAACATCAAAGTCTAACGATCCCGATTCGATTCAGCAACAGCGGCCAGTTAAACGCGTCATGCACACTCAATATTATAGCAACATCTATTATTAAAATTGCTTGTAGTAAACGCATTCATAGCATTTCACTGTAGTTGCGATGTTACACACAGAAAAAAATCCCCGGAAATTTTAGGTGTTCGCCGTAAAATTTGACATTTATATATAAATTTCTATATACATTTTACCGGCAACACTTCAATTTTCCGGGCGATGACATATTTTCGAACATTTTATCAAATACTATATATATTTTACCGCTTGAAATGACAGGTGGCGCTAATTTCTGTTGGAATATTTGAAATTATGTCATCGCCCGGAAAATGCAATTGTTGCCGGTAAAATGTATATAGAAATTTATATATAAATGTCAAATTTTACGGCGAACACCTAAAATTTCCGGGGATTCTTTTCTGTGTGTACCTATTAAATTCCCCTGTAGTATGTAGTTAACAAGTGTCGAACATGAATGTGTCAGTACTACAAGGGAATTTAATAGGAAACATCGCAACTACAGGGAAATGCTCTAAATGCATTTACTACAAGCTATTTTAATAATAGATGTCGCTATAATGTTGAGTGTGTGGATATATGCCGAACGATGGCAACACGACAAAGCCAGACACAAAACATGAGCATACTGATTTTGCTGCGATCAAACTGTCGATAGGTAGGTTTTTGCATCTTTATTACTGAATATTCATGTTTGTTTTGTTGTGTCGATCGCATTTTTTCTACACTTTTCCTCTCTCGGGCGCATATTTTAGAATTTGTTGTTCCGAATTTTCAATATGTTTTTCTCTCTGTCTCTTTCTCCCTCATTGTTTCAGCATTCGGACGGTTCTATTTTTTTGTTTTCTTGTTGTCGGCTAATGCATCTCTGTGTCGACAAAAAGAAGAGATTTTCACTATGATTGGTCTCTGCGCAACACACAGAACAACGCGATACTTGACGGTCGCTGAATATATCATTGTTTCTGTATCATTCACATGTGTTTGCATTTGCATTTGCAAAGCAATCATCAGTTCATACAGTAAAATGCCTCGTTCATTGTCGTTGCAGTGTGCTGAATATGGAATTGAATGAAAATTGAAAATTTCCGAACATAAAAACAAAGACAGCAAAAACAACGACGACGACGGCGGGGAAAGGAAAAAAAAACATTGCAGGCCAAATGCGAGCAGAAAAAAGGTATCGAAGAAGAACAAAGGAAACGGTACAAAAAAGCGCACATACACAGTACATTGCAGGTTTTTTTTTTATATGAAAAGAAAAACACACAACAAACGACTCTCTATTAGTGTACGGAGTCACGTTCCATGATGAAATTAGTACTGAGAGCAGTGCTCAATGCTAGACGGCGGTACATTGGTTCACAACAAAGCAGAAGAAAAGCACGATCTATACCAACAACACACAGAACATCAAAACAATGTCGCTGCATCCAATCTATGTCTATTGATAAATCGATACTGGCTTATTCACTAAACTGTTGGCTGTGTAATGCACGATGTAAATGATGATGTTCCGTGCATAAGAAGTTAGTCATTAAAAGAATATGCCGAATAATTTATATAGCGATCCGCTACTGATCACATTAATTCATAAATTCACTTGTTTTTGTGAATGATTTTTCTTTCAATTCCCTTCCGTTTCCGAGAATCACGACTTAATTACACGGTTGAAGTGTCGTTCGATGCACATCACCACCATCACCATCACCACCACCGAATGCGACGAATCATATTTTGATATTTTTATCATTTTTTTGTGCATTTTCATTCATCATAATCGATAAGCAATTAATTTTGGATGCTAAATTTGCGATTTCTCTAACAATTGAATCTTCATGTTTCTATGTCGATGCCGTGCACAACACGTTTATTACCTAATGACTGAAGAAGACAAAAGCAATGCGTAAGACATTTTTTTTCATTTGCAGAGCAGTCAATTCAGTTGCTATAATTGTTCCATAATTGAAGCATTAATGTAAATTACCAGTTCGGAGTTTGGTACTTGTGCCAAACATACACATGAGAATGGATCCGGCTTTGTGTCGAAGAAATATGGGCCGTTCTCGTTACGGTTGAAAACATCTGTGTGCATATATGCATCGCATTTAATGGCGCAACAAAATGCATCGTCGTTATATATTGGCCATTTCCAAAAGCTCAAAACCATCTCTATCGCGCGCACTAAACGAACACGATATCATTAATTTCATTGTCTAATTGTCTATAAACTGAATTTCCGTTCATCAATCGTGTGTATGTATGCACATTCTCGTACTCTAACAACCTCATTTCTTCTATTCGTCTAGACGATTGTTGATTTCCTTTTTTTCTTCCCTTCTGATTTTCATTATATTCTTAAGGAAAATATATATATATTGTGTGTGTGTGTTTTTTTTTCATGTATTACCAATTTTTATTGTACATTTTCTGTTCTCACGACATTTATTCTATGATTCTGGTATTGCAGAAGTGAAGGAAAAAAATGGATAAAATCACGTAAGTGTGTAAATGCATTGCACGCGCGTGCGCTCGCGCGATGGCATCGACAACAAACTAGATCAACAAGTCAAATGAAACAACGACTTTGACGTTGTTAAAAATGCTCACGCTTTTCATTATTCATGCCAAGCGAATTAAAGTCGAAAAATGGCATTTTCAATTCAATCGAATCTCTTGAATATCGCAATTTATACTAAACTGCACGCCGCGCACTCGCACTCCCAGACCCATTACAAACTTTCAATTGAAACAGTGCGACTTTTCAGTGTTTTTTTTTCTTCTTCTTCTTAGATAGAAATTTCGACCTGATAGAAATTTCGAAATGACTGTTTGTTTCTTTTGAATCATATGAAAATCGACGAAAGATGAGCAAAACAGAGTACTAGATTTATATTTTGATGCCTTGAAATTGATAATCAATTGTTATACCGTTCTAAATCACCCAATGAATTTCTATCGACGAACTGTGAACTTGCCAATGAATAAAAAAATAACGAAACAAATGTTTAATGAAAAAAAAACTCACCACTTTCATGTTGAAAAGAAAAATGTTTGAAATTTATCGAAAAATATGACACTTTTTTCGGATGAGGAGAGTCACCAGCGATATCACTCGATATTCGATTGCTTCGGTGGCTGTTGCTGATAAATTCCAACTTTGAACTTTGTTGCCGCCAACAAAGGTTTCAATCACTTCGATATTTAAATTTCACCAACAACGAAACAAAAAAAAAAAACGAAACTTATCAACTGATGCTAATGGACGTGTAATATGTATGATAGTCGGAATCGGTTGCACCTTTAATGTTTGAATGGCTGTAACTAGATTTGGACTCGGATTTGGGCTTTTAATAAAGCGTAGTGATAATTACGAGCGAAATGTTTTATGGTATTTATGTACGAGCACACAAATTACAATGATGCTGATCGATGGAAAGATGCGGTCTTTTATAGCAGAAAGGAAAATCGGATATCCATGAAAAATGCGAGAAGAAGAAGTACAGCTGCTAAGTTGCTACGATTGTGGCGGTGTGATGTGATGTGATGTTGTTGTTGTTGTTATTTTTGTTATTATTACAGTACCCAGTACACACATTCAACAATACATTGGGATGGATACATGTAAAAGGCTAGAGCGTGTAAGCCTTCTTATGATTTTCCATCCTGCTTACGGCCGTATACTCATCATGGGCCACCTTATTTTGTCGGGCTCTTTCTTGTGGCGTATTTCTCAGATTGGTCGCTTGCTCTACCCGCGCGCGTTGCCGCCGTTATCGTCGTCGTCGTCGTTGTTTAGCTTTGTATTCTCTCCCTGTATCATATTTGCTTTGTTTTATTTGTTTGTCTCTCGATTTCATTACATTTACGCTCTCAACGTCTTCTTCTACTTTTTTCCCGTTTACTGCCTATGCTTAGTTCGACTCATTGCGCCTTTTGTGGTGGTTTATTGTCACTTTTAGTTAAGCACCAAATCGCACACACACACACACACACACACACACACAAACACTGCAGGTCGTGTCATCGTTTAACGATTGTGTAGAGATCATGTTCAGACAACGATGCCAACTAATAACATAATTTTATTGCTCTTTCTATCCCTCTCTCGCTCTGTTTTCCCTCGTTTTGCACCGAATCGATCGATGTTGTACCCATCGGAACGGAATGGGTGCGAGAGATGGAGAATGCTGTCGCCGTCGTCGTCGTCATTGTCGCGGCCGCCGTTGATGCGGCTGCTGCTCTCACTACTGCTATACCTAACCCAAATGAGTCTCGTTGTGCGCGAAATGCTCCGGTTCCAGTGTTATTGTTGTTTTGTGATATTGATCGCAGCCAGTTTACACCGCGCGAAATCGTGGTGCATTCGAAATTCGAAACGAAATCGATGTGTAGCAATCATCTTCTTCACCAAATATTGAGTAGAAAATGTGTTCATGCAATTTGAAAATTCGATACCGGCATACAAGCAACATTTTTGGTTGCACTCAAGAAAAATCGTGAAAA